CAAAAGATGATACACACTTTAGAAGCTTAAATTCAAAACAAAATATTACATGTGTGTTCTGATACTCTTGGCTAACTGTTAATGTGATGTTTTTATATTCAATCTAGTTTTTTAATATGAGTTTTGTGTAGTAAAGTACTGGAAAATTTGGTATTAGTGCTTAGTTATCTTAAGCATTTTACTGAATTGTATGGCTTGTGGATTCTTTATAGTCATAATCAGTGATGGATTTTGAATAAAGTAAGAACCAGTTCATTCTTGGTTTTGGTGTTGTAATGGCTAAGTTCCATGCAGTTATAGTCATTAAAGAATAGTTGAAGGAACAATAGCTCTTTTTTCAAAATGTTTAGGTAAATTATTATTTAAATGCTTTCTTTAAGTTTAGATGTGCCTTACTTATGTAATCAATGTTAATGGAAAGCTTTGGCTAATAATTATTAATTGAGACCTAACACAGACAACTGACCTTTTCTACTTACTTTTGCAAACTAAAGTAGCTATTTCATCTTTATGAACATAGGATGAAAAGATTGGAGTACAATAAAGTTCAAGAAAAGAATGTAAGCACTTGTTCTATTATATGTGTGGTTTACACTCAGTATGGATATATCATAGCACTCACAAATATTGCATCCTCTTTACCAGTTGGTAAGTTTGGATTGCAAGGTGTGGTAGCTTGTTTTATACTACTTTGTAGCTAAAATCCTTAAAGTTTCTAACATTCAATAACACTTTTTTAGTTGAATAAATTTTATTAAATTTTGTTAATTTTCCACTACAGATTAGCTTCTTACAGAGATCAGATTTCCAGCCTCACTTAGTCATCTTCCACTAACATAAAATGGCTGTTGGGAACAAATTGATTTAACATCGTATTACATTGTTCTGGCAGTTAAGATATTAAGCACTTGTCTGTTTAGAACAAAAAGGCTTGGTTTGATATTCAGACTCAGACTTAATACAGCTTTAAAGCTCTTTTACTATTATTACTTTAAAGTTGAATTTCCAATTGACTGTTAGAGAGCAAGAATTATTTTGAATAGTTCTCAGTACCCCAGAGGAGCCCCAGGCCTACCAACTGCTGCTGCCATGTGGCTTGCTATTCAGGGAAAGGAATAGGGAGGGAAAGCACAACCTGTAGATGAGTGTAACAAGGAAGCCTTTTTACATAGTGCTGCTCTGAACAGTCTCCTCCTAACAATGGTGATCATACTGGAAATAAATGAGATTTTTTCAAACTGTCATTTCCTATTGCTGAATTTAGTTATTCTGTATTTTACTCTCGTTTAAGAGATGTTATCAACAGAACTGCTAAGTGGCATAACAAGACTACTATTCTTACTATCTGTTGTCTAATTTTGCCTTGTTTGCTTTCCTGTCCTTCATTGATGTACATGTTCCATACATACTGCTGTATATTATAGTTTAATTTTATACACACACACACACACACACACACACACACACACTCACACACTGAATTCATGCATGAGTGGGATCCAGCCGGCCTGGCCCTAATCAGGGCAGATCGGGGCTGAGCCTATTGGGAGGAGAAGACACTGGCAGGTTGGCCGGCTAGCCTGCCCCAATCAGGGCCTGATCAGGGCTGAGCTGGCTGGGGGGAGGGTCCGTGGGTAATTGGCTGATTGGGGTCTGGCCGTCAATCAGGAAACAGAGTTGCCTGGGGGGAGGGGCCGCAGGCCAGTCAGGGTGGTGGGGGCTGATAAGGGGTGGGGCCAGCAGTTGGATGGCAGTGGCCTATGGGAGGGGCCATGGGTGGTTGGCCAGCCAGCCCAACCCCTATTCAGGGTGGTGAGGGCCCATAGGGGGCAGGGCCAGCTGGAGGGAGGGGTTGAGGGAGGTTGGCGGGCTAGCCCCAACCCCTGATTGCCTGGTTCACTGGCCACAGTGGGCATCATAGCCACCGGTTGTTCCTGCATTAATGGCCACTGGCTTTCTATCTATATAGATATATCTCCCCCAAAGAGAAAGTAAACTCCTTGAGAGGAGTTTAAAATTTATGTTGTAATTTTTCTTGGTACATGAAACAGCGCTTTGCATATAGTAGACATTCAGTGAGTTTTACTTAGTAGTAATGTTGAGTTTTGCCACTTATGAAGGTACTATTTTCCTGGTGCCTAGTTAGCTTAAGTAATGACAATAAGTATTTTATTGATTTTATTTCATACTTTTCATATATAATTAAATATTTACTTTAGCAATTTTGTTTATTCAAGCTCTTATAAATTAATTCAAAGATGGTTTGACTATACTATAATAATATGTGTTTCTAGTTGATAAGGTGTTCTCTTATTTGATCTGTTTGAATTGAGGTCATTATGTAATAACTAGAGGCCTGGTGCATGAATTCATGCATGGGTGGGGTCCCTCTGCCTGGCAGGAGCCTATTGGGGCCTGCCAGGAGCCTTTTGGGGCCCGCCAGCCAAGGGGAGTAACCGAGGGAGGTTGGCTGTAGGAGCACACCTACCACCAGGGGGCAGCTCCTGCATTGAGCGTCTGCCCCCTGGTGATCAGTGCACATCATAGCCACCAGCCAGTTTCTAGTCTTTTGGTCATAATGGTCACTTAGGCTTTTATATAGAGAGAAGATTAGTAGAGAAATACTGTGATCACGTAATTCAAAACTAAATATATATTCTGATCACAACTTTATGAATTAAAAACTTTGTGTTGAGCATATAAATAATGCAAAATCAGTTGATTTTCCTTATTGCACTAAATTATAACACCTGAATTGGAAGGTGATAACACTACAAATTAAATAAAAATTTGGAAGCACCAAGGCTTAGATGGTGAGGTGTTAAAAACTAATTGCTGTGATAGTTTGGGTAATAGGAACAAATCATCTTGTTGCCATAGAATTTAAAAGGAGAGAATAGGTGTACCAGGCAAGTTATAATAAAAAAGAAAGCCAAAGGGGGTCATAATGTTTAGTTTGACAGAGTTTAAAAGTAAAATGTAAATGTAACATTAAAATGATGAAGTTAAGTCATTAATGATGAAGTCATAAATTAATATGAAGCAAATTATACAGAATTAAAATGTAAATGATAAAAATTGCAAAGAATAAAGGAAATTGTTAGATCTCAATAGTACTTTAGAAATTCAGAGTACTTTTCTAAATCTGTGACAGATCAAGCAGATAATTAAATTATTCCCATATTCTGTATTTTTTTTATTTTATCTGATGTACAAGACAAAGAACTATATGTTCTGAAAACAGAAAGTATATTTTCTCCGTGACTCATGAAATGTTTAAGAAAATTTACCATGTTTTTGGGTCACAAAGAAAATTTGCAGGTAATTCCAAAGAGTAGAAATAGGTCATCTTAGTTTCTCTGCCTATCTTACCTAATAATAGACAAACATGCAAAATTGACCGTACCTCCGCTACACCCACAGCCAATCAGAGTGAGTATTCAAATTAACCTAATAAAGATATGCAGGCATGGAGAGGCCAGGAGGAGCGGGACACCTGCTATGAGGGGGAGGGAGGGTGATGGAGGGAGCTACAGGAGAAGTGCTCCAGACAGAAGCAAGGACTTGCTGGCTCCTGGGTAGCTGGGAGTGAAGCCAGGGGAAGGAAGACCTATTCTTGCACGAGAATCATGCAATAGGCCTCTCGTGGTGAAATAAAATTTCAGCTAAATAATAAAGATAGGGAGGAAATTTGGTAATTTTCAAATCTTTTCTACCACCATTGAGTCAAAGAAGAAGTCAAAATTGCAATTGTAGGATATATAAAAGTATGATAACATCAAAGTATACTGCATTTTCTTTAGAATTATGGTTTTAGGAAGATAAAGGACAGCATTAGATAACAATACTTCTTGACCTTCTGAAATGTGCAAGACATTTTGTTTGATGTGAGATATAACTCAGAATAAGACTGTGAGCCTTAGAATTTGTGACCCACTGGATTTTGTTACAGAATGCACGTTAGAGTAAATCATTTGGGGTGTATATATATGAAAAACCCTCTCTAGTTTAGTGTATGATCATTTTAATTTTCAACAGAAATACCTATGGTACCCATACGGAGAGGAGAAGTAGATTGTTATAGTGTTTGGACTGAATTGTGTATAAAGTCTGGAGAGCTTAATTCCTTTTTACCTCTGTCACCTGTTAGCAGTTCTGTTTCATTGGATACTTCAGTTTTATTCTCTGGGCTTCATCCATAAATGAGGAAGTTGAATTATAGTTTCATTATACATGCTATTTTTATGTAGTTGTAAAAAATTCATTAAGTAAGTATCGAGCATCAACTCCTTTTCAGTTTGTAAGGATTAAACTTATGCTCTGGTGGGAGAAAGAGTTCAACTTCGAGTTCCATGCAAGCAGAGTAGGGTGCATATATCTTAAGTAAGAGTTTGCCAAGTGAACAGAGTAGGTGAGAGTTCTAGGCTGAGCAAGTAATAGAGGCAGAGAAGGAAGTGTTTCACATTTGGGAAACTGCAGTTAGTTTGTGTGGCACTTAGTTAGAATGGGTGTACGGAGGAGTAGCAAGACATTAAACATTGAGATACATGGGAGCCATATTGTGAAAAATATATCCGTTAAGTTAAAGAATAAATAACTATGGAAATGTTCTTTAGCATTGGAAGGAGTTGGCACTGTAACAGTTAGTTGAAATGGATGCAGACACAGCAGTTAGGAAAGTGGCAGTTCAGGTGAGCCAGTAAGGAGTCATAAAGTCAGGGCAGTACAGATGATGTGTAGATGGGAGGAGAGGTCTTTAAAATGCCTGGCTTCATAAAGTCTGTGACAGTCCTGTAAGTGTATGCAAGATACAGTTTGTGAATGCATTTTTCTTTGGAGAGGGTCTATAAGTTTCATCAGATCATATAAGGGGGCTATTAGGATAAACATATATTGTAGAGAAAATTTATAGGATGACATTCCACAGACTATGAAATTTAAATAATTTTAAATTTTACTTTATTAGTGACTAATCTAATTTCTTTTTTTGCTTTTTATAGTGGACAGACCAAAATCTCAGCAAGTTCGAACCTCTAGTACAATAAGGCGAACCTCTTCTTTGGATACGATAACAGGACCTTATCTCACAGGACAGTGGCCACGGGATCCTCATGTTCATTATCCTTCATGTATGAAAGATAAAGCTACTCAGGTAAAATAAGCAAAGCCAAACCAGTTTTACTACCCTGCAGTAAAGAAAATGTAATTTAATAAAACATTCCAAAATTTGAAATAATAGTACATTCAACTAAATAAGAAAGCCATTTCTTTTAATAAACTTTAGATTAATTGTTTCTTATCATCTGGGTTTTTAAAGTTTTAAAATTCTGTAATATTTTAAATATATGACAATTTTTTAGACTTACAGTATTAAGAATTGCTTTCCAAGAGAAATTAATATAATGACTAGTAACTATATTATAAAATATAATTTTTGAAATTACTTATTTCAGTATTGGAAATAATTTATAAAGTATTAACACATGGCTAAGGAAATTCATGTTAAAGGTATTTTGGGTGTTTTTTTCTGATTAAAGAATGACGCATTTAAATGTGAGAGAATTCAAAGGAATGAGAACATTTTCGGCTTTGTAGGTTAGGAAAATAGAAGGATTAGAGTTTCATGTCTGAAGAATGAGGGAAGAGAAAAAGGAGCAGGGGGAATTTTGGACATGATCTATGAGGATCTTCTCAATTTTTCTAATTTTCCCAGACAAGCTTGAAACCATGAAATTAGCTTCTTTATCATCCATCCTATCAATTCTGCCTTTGTAATATTTCATGCCACCCCAGTCTTTTGCTTTTCATTCTTAGTTTTGTGAGCAAAAGGATCAGTTTGATATGGTTGGCAGTGGGATTCTCAAGTGGAAATCACTAGCAAAATTTAGTGATGTGGGCCTGGATACTTAGAGATGGACACAGATAATTCAAAACCATATTTCTGAGGAGTTGGGTTCACAAGTGTCATGATGTGTAGGTATAGAGTGTAAAGAAATTGGCTCAAAGGACTGAGGACTTAGTTTTTGGAAATGCACATGAGGGAAAGAGAGAAAACTAATGTATTCACCTGGAAGTAATAAGAGAAGGGAATTAATAACATTTACTGACTAAGTACCATGTGCTATGTATTTTATGTCCTGTGTTTCATTTAATTCTCACAATAACATTGTAAGACTACACAGGTGGAGAAGCAGAAACTCAGAAGTTAAGTGACTTATTATCATAAAGCTAGAAAGTGTTGGAACCAGGTTTTTAAGACAGGTTAATTTGTCAACCAATCTGAGCTCCAGTCTTATGCTGCTAGTAGGATAAATGGAATAATGTGCATGTGTGTGCGTATCACCTACTAGAATAACTGGCACTGTACTTAAAAATAGTGGGTATTGCCCTAGCTTATTTGGCTCAGTGGATAGAGAGTTGGTCTTTGGACTGAGGGGTCCCAAGTTCAATTCCAGTCAAGGGCACAGGCCCGGGTTGCAGGCTCGGGCTCGATCTACAGTGAGGGGTGTGTAGAAGGTAACCAATCAGTGATTTTTCGCTCTCATCATTGATGTTTGTATCTCTCTCTCCCTCTGCCTTCTTCTCTGAAATCAATACAAATATATATATTTAAAAATAGTGGGTATTTTTAGATTTTAAGAAAACCTTACCTTTTATTGAATATGCTTTGGGCTCACACTATTCAGGAACATTTTCATAAAATGAATAACATAATTTATTCATATTTCTTCTGTGAGAAAGAAGAGGAACCAGAGAAACAGCAAAAGCTAAGAGAACAGAAATAGTCTAGCCTTATATGCCAAAGGGAATGCTGTTTTAAGAAAGGAAAGTTTTTAACAGTATCAGGTGCTAAAGAGAGGTCCTGGAGAATAAGGACTGGATTTAGGGGTTAAGGGCATATTGTTTTGGAGTGTGTAAAATGGGTGAGAGTGTAGAGGAGGAAACTCAGATATTTAGCAGTTAAGAAGACAGTTATATGGAGATAACGTAAAAGAGTGCTGGACAGGTTTAAACCTGGCTGTTTCTTTGTGTGATGGGGTTAATGTAATCAAACTCACCATGACGTCATATGACTAAATACGATGTTTGAAAGTGAATGTGGCAATACACATGTGAGGTGATTAGTGGCAGATGTAGACAGGCGAAGTTATAGTATTTGCAGGGTCTGTAGCAAAGATAAATGAAGACCCATATACCAAAAATGTTTAACTTAAACTAACAAACTGTTACATAAAATATATTTATCCTTCTTAGTTGACAAATAAAATTTCATATGGATCTTGGTGTTCAGGTTTGAGCTAAGATATCCTAGGTTCCTCTGAGTTACATGCCAGAATGTATCTATATTGGCCAAGCCCACTTTACCTTCTGAGCTTAAAACCTAAATCTCTTTTTACCCTGCACACCATTCTGTACCATGAGGGGTGGTTTTACATGTGTCCTCCTCACATTCATTTTTATCTACCGTACACTCTCTCAGGAAGTGAGACCAGGGAATAGATACTTGCAGACCTTGGAAACCAGGCTTGCTACTGTTTGGAAAAGGAATTCCTAGGTCTGGATTACCCAGAGCATAGTCTGTGGCAGAGGTATGGGTTCATGGTGAGCATATCTCCTTGGTCCCAAGGTCTCTTCACCCTGTGGGGAGGGGCATAGTTTGGAGAGGGCCAGTGCTGTTCCAAGCTTGAGGTCCAGGTTAGGGGCTTTTCGTGCATGGTTCTGCATGTAGGTCATTTGAGAAATTGAAAGGAAGGCAAAATATAGGCCTCATTTTACAGGTGAGATACTGAAGCTTAGCGAAGTTAAGTAATTTGTACATGTTTATATGTCTAATAAATAGGGAGAGATTTGAACCCAGATTTGGTTGATTCACAAATCTTTTTTTTCTTCAGTTCCCCACTGCCTCTTGAAGTAACCACTGAAGTATACAGCATTTAACCTCATGCTTGCCTAACAAGCATACACAATGGTTTTGGCCCCAAGTTTATATTAATTTAATTGAAGAGATATGGATAAACATGAGATGATTTTTATTGTTATTTTCATCCCTCCTGGATTCACTCTAGAATTCTTGGGGAGGGAAGTAGTTTTTGTTTTTTTAGCGGGAATTAGTGGAGGGCAGGTGGTCCAGTCAACTTACCTTAGACCTTATTAAACATCTGGGCTCACTGATATTTTCTTCCTGTCATATTTCAGTATTTCAGCTACCTTAATTATTGAGGATTATAAATAAAATTATTTATGTTTAATATATTTACACTTCTGGTCTTTAAAAACGAAGTAGCAAAGTATCTTTAAAAAGACTGTGGACTTTGGAGACAGATCCTGTGTACAAACCAAGGCCCAATATTAGGGAACTTTCTGGGATGGTGGAAATGTATCTTTTTAAAAAAAAAATATATATTTTATTGATTTTGTACAGAGAGGAAGGGAGAGAGATAGTTAGAAACATCGATGTGAGTCATCGATCAGCCGCCTCTTGCACACCCCCTACTGGGGATATGCCCTTGACTGGAATCGAACCTGGGACCCTTCAGTCCCCAAGCCGATGCTCTATCCATTGAGCCAAACCGATTTCAGCGGAAATGTATATCTTGATAGTCGTTGCTTACATGGGTGAATGTACTTATTAAAATTTAGATCTAAGTATATACTTGTGCATTTTATTATATATATTAACTTTAAAAATATAGAACATTGCCTTGGCTGGCTTGGCTCAGTGGATAGAGAATCATCAGCCTGAGGACTGAAGGGTCCCAGGTTAGATTCTGGCCAAGGGTACATGCCTGGATTGCGGGCTTGACCCCCAATAGGGAACGTGCAGGAGACAGCTGATCAGTGATTCTTATAATTGATATTTCTTTCTCTCCTTCTCCCTTCCTCTCTGAAATCAATAAAGAAAAGTATTTTAAAATAAATAAATAAATAAAAATATAGAACATAAATATTGAACTCTCCTAAGATGTTTAGGGATGAAGTAAATTGCTGTCTGCAATTAACTTTGAAATGAATAAAAAGTAAGTTCAGTTGATGGATAGATAGATGATAAAGGAAATATAGCAAGGATTTGACTACAGAATAAAAGATGTTGGCTTTTTGAGTACTCGCTGAGCAGTTTTTTCAGCTAGTGTGTGTGTTTGACTTCTTAAAATAAAATGGTGGGGAAAAAAGTCATGGCCCACTGAATCAATCACACAGTGGAGTATTGTTCATTTATAAAAAGAATAAAATCCTGTTATTTGTGACAACATGGGTGGACCTTGAAGGCATGATGCTAATTGAAATACTTCAGACAAATACCATATGATCTCACTTATATATTTAATCTAAAACAAAACAAAACAAAAAACACTAAGCTCATACACACAGAAAACAGATTGGTGATTGCCAGAGGTGGGAGGTACCGGGTAGGTGAAATGGGTGAAAGATGTCAAAGGATGCAAACTTTCAGTAATAACATAATTAGTCTAAGGGATGTATAATGTATGGCAACAATAGTTAACAATACTATGCCGCATATTTGAAAGTTACTAAGGATAATTATTAAGTTTTCATCTCAAGAAAAAAATTTTGTTGCTATGTATGGTAATGGATGTTAACCGGAATTATTGTGATGATCAGTTCATCTATAGTAATACAAATGTAATATGCTAATTAGACAGCTGAATAGTGAAACGACCATCCAGATGACCTTTCGGACAAAGCCAGGGCGCTGTGAGAGCTGAGGCAGCCTCTGCGACTGCAAGGGCCAAGCCCCTTCCACTAATTTTGGGCATTGGACCTCTAGTAATATAGAATATCAAATCCTTATATTGTGCGCCTATAGTTGGCATATGTATTTCAGTCATACCTAAAAGAAAAAAGAAAAAAAAGCCAGTGCACTCATTCTGACAAACACACATGCTTATTTTAGTAATCATTTTGCTTGATTTTCAAAATCAGGGGTGGTTTTTTATAGGCCAAATGTCATTTCACATGGAAATGAAGACCTTGTTTTGACTCATAACCTATAACATGGTGAATTTCTTGGGTAGATTATTTAATAATTAGTTATGATCACATTTATGGAACAAAAGCTATTTGTTTATGGAGTTTTTTTTAATATGATATTTAATAATCAGTGAAACAAAGTGTTAATACAATTATATTTGT